CCTGAGCCTGCCACTGTGAACTCCACTGTCCGAGAGCCCGATTTCCGTGCCGCCGAGGCCGTGCCAGCCCTGTAACCCCATTCCTTCCCTCGCTATGTGGAGCCCGTGCTTGCTTGAGACTTTCTCTCCCCCTTGGGAGGGTGTCTGTTACAGGGCACCGACCCGTTGTCCAACAGTTGAGCGTTTTTTTGTTTGGTTTTTTCAGTTCTGGAGGCTTGCGGGGCCTGCGGGCAGGATCTTAGCACCGAGGAGCTGTGGCAGAAGGTGCTGCAGGAGGTAACCATGAAGGAGCTGCAGGCGCCTTTGCACCGACTGGGGGCCCTGCAAGCAGCGTGGTGGCTGGCAGCCAGCCGCCTGGGAAGCGCCGCCGGCCTCTTCCGGCTCCCGAGCAACGATAAGGTAACCGGGCACAGGCGGACGCGGTGCAGCTCCCGGTTCCCTGCACCGGAGTATCTGCGGGGATATAAATACCCACGGGTTTGCTAAAAGAGGCAGAGCTGGCATAAATACCATGTTTGTCATAAACCCCACTCTGCAAAATGGTGCTGTGGCATTTGGAGACCCGAACCCATCAGCGCTGACCAGTCCCAGTCAGCGTGAGTAATCCTCTCCCTGCTGTCCCAGCATAGCCTAATGGCCCTGGCTGGAAGGGGGCTGCAGGTGGACTTGCAGCCTCTGCAGGGAGCAAGCTGCGAGCAGTGGGATGCGGAGGAACCTTCCCTGCTGTCTGTGAGGCTGCCGAGGGGTCCCACCTTTTTGAATGCCCTCCAATAGCACTTGGGTCTGCCTTGCCGGGAGCCCCTCGAGGTGCATCTCGCTCTGAGGTGGGGAGGTGCTGCCCCGGGCCAGGCAGAATCACTGCCACGAGTGGGCTGCAGCTGAAGTGAGGGGGTGGTAGGACAGTGCTCCCCAGCACAGGGAGCACCGTCGAAGGGTTTGCTGGGACTTCTGTTTCCCTGTGCCCTGGGATCAGTGTTTCCTGCTTCCCTTCAGCATTCCCTGCTCTCTCTCCTCTGTGTATTCACAGGACCTGGGAAGAGCTCGCTGCAGCGAGGGGGAGAACGAACTCCTCTCCCTGCTCAAGGCATGGCGAGTACCTGCTGAGAGGGCCTCCCCGCCCCTGGTACAGAGCGCCGAGGACTTGAAAGAGATCCTCTGCACCGCAGCAGCCTTTCTGCAAGGTTTGTGTGGAGGAGGTACTCGTGCCAGCATGGCCTTCCACCGCTCTCCCATCCCAGGGCCCCCTCTCCCTGCCCTTATCGTGGTTTTTCTTCCCAAGCAAACTAGCCCTTGGGGTTTTCCGGGCTGTTCCTTTGGAAGAGGGCTTGGGCTGAGCCTGTGGGTCTCAACTTTGCCGTTCAGTATCTGAAGAGCTCTGCTTTTTCCTCAGCTGAGCCTTTCTCTGCACTGTCACAGGTTCCTCTGCCTGTCTGTGGCTGTAGGTAGGTGTCTGGGCCCCGCAGTGATCTTGTATAAAGCGGAAGGCTGGCAGGGGGCTTATGAGAATTTTCCTTTCTTCTGTCTGTCTTCTGGCACCTGCCTTGTTGCAAGCACATTGTTCCCCTCGGATTACGGTGCTGCAGGAGCCACGCAAAGCTGTCGTGCAGCTTCGTAGCCTGGTGTCACAGCACGTGACTGATCTCATCTCACTGCTGCGTTTTGTCCCGCTCGTGGTTTTCCCTCGCTTGCTGTCGTGACAACCCGAGCAGCGCCGGGGGCAGCCAGCACTGCCTCGCTGCTTTCAGGCTGACACGGGGCCTTCCTGTGAGGAGGGAGGGCAGGAGCCTCTGCCCACAGACCTCTCAAAAGCCTCGAGAGTGGCGATAGCCCTTCCAGCCGGGAGGCAGCAGATGTGAATGTGATGTAGGCATGCGACAGCAGCCTCAGAGGGAAGCTTGAAGTGAGGACTGAAAGAAAAGCAAATACCATTCGCAATAAATATTCATTAATTAATATCCCAGAGCATCCTGTTGGGAAATGGCTCAGGTGCGCTGGAAAAAGTCTTTTTGAGATTCTGTCTGTGCTTCCTCATCCGCACCGCCGCTGCTGTGGATGAACGCGCAGGTGGACCCGCCCAGCACCTGCCGCTGCCCTTGTTCTGGGCCAAGGCAGGCATCTTGGTATCCGGGCTTGGAAGTTGCTATGATTTCTGCTAGACGTTTCCATCAAGTGGCTTGTTGTTCTCTTGCAACGCCATCAAACCAAAGATGGCAGCTTGGCACCATCCTGCTGTGCATTGCTGGGTGTGGAGGGGATCGGGCAGGTCCCTGTGGCACTGGGAAGAAAAGGGCACGTACGCTTGTTTGGGGACCAGGGAGAGCGGGAGGGGGAGCCGCGGAGCTGAGGTATTGGGTCTGTCCTAGGGCTGCAGGAGCTGGAGGCTGGGAACTTCCCCACCGCCCTCTCCCTCCTTCAGGAGGCTGCGGGAGGATTCTGCTCCAAGAGGGTCCTGGCCCAGATCTACACCTGCCTCGGCTGCTGCGCTCAGCGAATGGTAATGGACGGGCCCCTTCCCTGTCAGTGGGGAGAGGTGAAACGCAGCCTAGAGCGGGGTGGGGAGGCTCAGGCTGATGTCTTCACTGCCTCTGCGTGGTCCTAGGCTGCTGCAGGAAGGCGAGGTCTTGAGCAGAGGTTGCCCTTGTGGCCCCAGCCTTGGAGAGCTGCAGGCAGGGATTTTGTCCAAGCGCAAAGGGTTGCTGTAGAGAAAGAAGCTCAAAAACTAGCCTGAGGAGGGCTGCCTTTGGCTAAAGTGCTGCCCTTGCTTAGTGGGGGATCACTGGGGAAGCAGAGCAGGGATTGGGATCCCACCAAATAGTAAAGATGTCAGCAAGATGTCCTTGCAACATGCACCTCTTCTCATCTATCCAGGGCAAGCCTCAGACAGCCCTTCAGCACCTGAAACGGGCCCTCCAGGTAGATTTCCAGTGCTTTCCTGCCTTGTCCCACATGGCAGCGGTGTACCACGAGCTGGGGGAGACTGAGGCAGAGCTGCAGGCCCTGGCTCTGCTCTACGAGGTATGTCTGCTTCCTGTAGTCCTGGGTTTATTTTTGCCCAGCAGAGCCTGCACAGAGCTTCAAGCAGGCTTCTGCCTTCTTGTGGGTGCTGTTTCACCTTGGAGGGACCCCCAGGTAGACTACAGTGACCTAGCCATGGCGCCGCCTTCAGCGGTGGGCAGGAAGGAGCCCAGTGAGGTCCGAAATTCCTGCTCAGCAGCTGGCTGTTGAATGTGGCAGGACCTTTGGGTCCCAGTTCATGTTCTTGGTGGCTCGGGAGAAGAGGTTACACTCAATAAAGTCTCTAATACTTTAAAAGGCAGATTGTGGCTGCGGGAGAGTGTGCATTAGCTGTAGCAACCTTGGTCTGCCTGGGCAGACCTGTGCAGGTCATAGAGTTAGCTCCAGCTGTTTGAAATCCATAAGATGCAAACACAGCTGTGGAGAGGGATCCCTCTCATTACAAATGGTCTAAGATCTGGTCTAATTAAGTCTGCGGCTGCAGTGGGAGATGGTGTTCCAGGCAGCTCAGAGCACCTTGAACTGAAAACCTGAGGTGATCTGGGTGATCTTGCACATCTTCTGATGCTGCCTGGAGAGCAGAAGCCTGCCTGTCCTGTGTGATCCTGGTTGCTCTTCCTGGCAGCGTCTGTGCTGTACTGAGGGAGAACAGCGGAGCTGTGCTTATGAAGCGCAGTGCTTCTGCTCGTCTGGGTGCATCTCCAGACACCAGAAGTGGCAAGTGATTGCAGCTGCTCGGGACTTGACTGGCATTGTGTTGACCATATTTTCTGTTCCTGTTTCACAGGCTCTGGGAAAAAACCCTCCAGCAGCTGCTTCCTCTAGTCCATATTTCCTAATCCGAACAGAGCTCCTTGTCCACACACCAATATTAGCTTCTCTCCTTCGCCATCGCCACCCCTCTGAAGTGAAGTACCTGCTGGCACAGCGGTGTCTCCAGGATGGAAGGTAACAGCACCTCTGATCTGCTTGCATCACGCTGCTTGTTTGGGCTCTGCGGTTTTCTCTGTACTCCTGGAAATCATCCCGTTCGGTGCTGCTGTTATAGGTCTGCTTAAGTCACGGCTATCGCAACCAGAGCGAGTGTGGTGCAGGGAGAGCCTGTGGGCTGGTGATCCAGGTTCCACCTGGCTGCTGGCACTTCTTCGGGTCCCCCTGCTCCTTCCACCACATGTCCTGTCCCCATTGCAGGGTGGCTGATGCAGTGGAACATTACCTGGATTTTCTGGCTCTGCTTCAGGAGGGGCTGCAGCAGCAGGTGGGTATCTTGGTGAAGAGCTCCCTTGGTGACCTGGTAGATGAGGTTTCCATCCCCATCCCAACCTGGACTCCAGGTTTCAGTGTCTAGTTTGAGATGTGAAGGAAATGAGGCGGGGGTTGGCACCTCTGACCTGTGGCATGTCTGCGTTCTGGCTTCACACCAGAGACCACGTGCCACTGCTATTCGGAGAAACGGCTTCCTCTTCCCTGTGGGGAGCAGCTGTTGGCCTGGTTTTGAACGTCCTTCCTTTCAAGAGTAGGGATTTGCCACCTTGACTCTGCAGAGCTGTTAGTGCTTCACAGCTTCTGCCTCCTCCGACAGGCTCCAGCATCTGTGGGAGTGGGTCTGGGCTTTGCTGGGCGGCGGTGCCGGGTTCCCAGTAAGCGCGGGGTCATTCTGCTTGGTTGGGCGCTCTGCGGTTCTGCGTCTGAGCACTGCCACCGCTCGTGCTCCCCAGGTGCCCCTAGACGGTGGCTCAGCTCTGCCCAGGATCCCCGAGGTGTTCCTGGAAGCAGCGTCTGCCTTGGAGCAGGCTGGGAGGCACCAGGATGCCATAACCATGTGCGAGGAGGTCATCAGCCGGACGACTGACCTGATCCCACGGATGTTACGAGTGGACTCCTGTCCCAGAAGAAGGAGAGTCTGCGCTGCCTTGCCTGGAGAGCAGCTGGATACCTGCACCAGGGCTGGGCGTGGGCTGAGCTGGGCGAGAGCAAGGAGGCCGTCACGCAATTCAGCAGGTGACAGCGCCTCGCTAGAAGAAGGGGCCTCCCCGGTGGGCAGCAATGGCTGGCGGGGGCCGGAGCAGGGTGCGGCACGGCAGCGGTCCTGGCCTGACAGCACGGGGCCGAATTCCCAGCCCGGGGGTGGTACCAAAAGCTCCTCTGTCCTCCCACCCGCAGGTGCCTCAGCGATCTCTTGCGAGTCCAGCTTTACGGGTCTGGCGTTGAACCGACAGGTAGGATGCCGCGCGGCTGGGACCTGCACGGGGCCTGGCTGGGCTGGGAGCTGCGTGCCTGGCAGCGGTGGGTACAGGAGCAAGGTGCCAGGCCTGGCGTCACCGCTGGCAGGAGGCACTTGTCCCAGCCTGCGGAGCTCTTTCAGAAAGACTGGCTGGTTGGGCTGGAGCAGGGTTTGGCCTTGGCTCTGCCTCCTTCCCTGCTGTCTAGGTGACAGTTAAACGGATTGTGAATCGGGAAGCTTCTCAAATCCAGATTTCAGGGAAGAGATTTCTCGGCTGCTGCCGAGGTCACTTCACCGGAACCATGTAATGTACCAAGCTCTTGGCTTTCTTCACTCTCACCCTCTGCCGCCTCCTGGCCTCTCCCAGACTGGCGGGGAGGCTGAGCTCTGCCACGGGCCTTTTGGGGAGCTGGAAGATGAGCAACCCAAATAAATGTTCAGCCTATCCTGACTGCTAACCTGTCTCAGCCTGCTGGGATGAGGGAGGGAATGTCTGGAGGATGCTGTCTCTAGGTCCATGTGTCTTTCCATGCCAGAGAGTCTCCGGCCAGAAGTGGAGGTGCTCCAGAAGATCAGGTTGCTCTCTCTCATCGGGAGAGGTTCACAGTTCCTGGAGCTGGGGAGGCACAAGGAAGCCTTGTTGGATTTCCAGCATGGTTTGCAGATTGCGCCAGGTAAGAGGCTCATTTTGGTGAGGAACAGGGGATCTCCACAAATTTGTCCTGGGCTGCTTCACTGTCTTCAGCAGAAAGCTCTTATGCTTTAGACCATGCTTATTATTATTATTATTATACGGGTATCGAGGACTACAGCAGGGCTGCCAGCAATGTTATGTACTTGAGAGGCTTCTCTGGAGCCTGGTCAGCTCACTGCCTTGGAGAAGCAGACCAAAATGATTGTCAGGGTGTATCGGAACACTGCCCACAACCTCTGCCCCGAGACAGCTTGGAAATTTCCACTCCTCCTGCCCAAACCCCAGCCTGGGC